GAAGTTCTAACATCAGAATCAGATTGAGACTTATCCCAATCCCAAATTTCTGATTCCTTCACAATCACATCTCTGCTGAATTCAATTTTATTGGTTTCTGGACAATAGAGCTTGTATGCACCTGTACTGTGGTACCCTATCAGAATCATCACTTTGCTTCTATCATCCAGCTTCTGTCTTCTGGCTTCTGGAACATGTTTATAGCAAACAGAACCAAACACCTTCAGATGACTAACACTTTGCTTGTCTCCAGTCCACTTCTGCATAGGAACTATTTCCTTCAACTTCTTCGTAGGACATCTGTTGAGTACATACGTTGCAGTGGCAACAGCTTCTCCCCAGAGCTTCTGAGGAAGCTTCTTCTCCTTTAGCATGCTTCTCACCATATCAAGCAAAGTACGGTTTCTTCTTTTAGCAAGACCATTGTGTTGAGGGGTATAAGGAGCAGTAACCTCATGCTCAATTCCATTCTCCTCACAGAACTTCTGGAACTCTTTGGAGTTATACTCACCTCCACCATCGGTTCTAAGAATCTTCAACTTCTGACCACTCTGATTCTCAGCCTTCATTCTGAACTTCTTGAATTCATCAAACACCTCGTGTTTGAACTTAATAAGGGATACCCATGTCATTCTTGTGAATTCATCAACAAATAACACAAAGTATTTATTCCCTCCAATTGATGCTACTGGAAATGGACCACACACATCAGAATGTACAACTCCCAAGGCATGTTTTGCTCTTGGAGCAGCTTCTGACGCAAATGGCAATCGTGGTTGTTTTCTTTCCATGCAAACTTTGCATGATTTTTCAGGCTTCTTAATTGCAGGAATTCCATGTACCAACTTCTTTGAATTCAGATGTTTTAAGCTTCTGAAATTCAAATGACCAGATCTTCTGTGCCACAGCTCACTCTCCTTCTCAGCACATGTTGCACTAAGACATTCTGAGTCTGCAGTTCTGACATTCACCTTGAATGTTCTATTCCTTCCCTGTTCTGACTCCATAATCAGCTTCTGATTGCAGTCATACAGCTTCAGAAGATTGTCCTTCATGGTAAGTGAAAAACCTTTCTCAATTAATTGTCCCACACTCATCAGATTGCTTCTGATGCCAGGTACATACCACACGTTCTGAATCAATGCTGTTTTCCCATTGTTCAGAGTCACTTTGACATTTCCCATACCTTCTGCATTAAGATATTTGTCATCAGCACATCTGATCTTTGTCTTCTTTTCAGAGTCAAAGTCAACCAGCCATTTCTTGTTTCCAGTAAGATGATTTGAACAGCCAGTGTCCATATACCACCAGTCTGTCAGATCATCAGATTCAGAGGCCATCAATAGCACAGATTCGTCATCAGAACTTCTGGCTATATTTGCTTCTTCTGATTTCTTCTCCTTGTTTGACCAACAATCTCTAGCAAAGTGACCAAACTTCTTACAACAGTAACATTGGATCTTTTTCTTGTCATACTTCTCTTTTCCCTTCTGAGCATTCTTTTGCCTATCAGAGACTGAGCTTTCTGACTTCTGACCACCATCAGATCTTCTCTTGACTTCTGACTGCTTCTGATACCTCCTATCAGAAGTTGCTTTCAGAGCCTGCTGCTCTACTTCCCTTTCAGAAGTTCTCTCAGTCAAACGCAACTCTTGCGCTTCTAAACTGCTCTGCAGCTCTTCAATTCTCATGGTACTCAGATCTTTAGAATGTTCTATTGCTACCACAATGTAATCAAATTGAGAGGTAAGGGATCTCAATACCTTCTCAATGATTGTTTCTTCAGAAAGAGTTTCTCCACACGCCTTCATCTCATTAGTGATCAGAATCACTCTGGAGATGTATTCAGAAACTTTCTCATTATTCTTCATGTTGAGATTCTCATATTGCTTTCTCAAGGACTAAAGCTTCACCTTCTTCACTGATGCGTCACCACCATAACATCTAACCAGTGTGTCCCACGCAGCCTTTGCTGTCGTTGAATCTGCAATCTTCTCAAACACATTTACATCAACACATTGATGAATAAAGAATAATGCTTTCTGATCCTTCTTCCTTACTTCCTTCTGCGCGTTTTTCTGTTCATCCGTTGCATCTGCTGCTACCGGAACATAACCATCAGTGACAAGATCTAGAACATCTTGAGCACCAAATAGTACACGCATTTGGATCATCCAACGATTCCAGTTTTTACCATCAAATACTGGAAGTTTGGTGTTCATGTTGCCGTTTCCGTTCATCTTCTACCTTGCACAATACACTCAGATTTTTCACACAGTGTTTCCCAACCCACAGAATAAAAATTCTGATCAGATTTTTGTTCAAGATTCAACACGAATCTAAGAATCAAAATCAAACACACAAGACCTCACGTTCACTCGTGTTTCCCGTGTTTCCCAATGAATCTGAACCGGAGCTCTGATACCAATTGTTGGTGCAAAGGTAGAATAAATGATGAAAGGTAGAAATATTCTATTAAGAATGACGGCAGAAAAACATGATAAAAGTTACAATGATTGTCACCCTATTTATAAGCTAAAACTAGGGTTACTAGAATAAGATAAAATACTAAAATACCCTGTAACAAACTTAGGGGCTAAGAAAATAGTACAACTAAATAAATATGAATTACTATTAATATTCTAATATCGATGACCCTTATATTAAAATATTAAAAACTAAATAAAATAATAGATATTATTTATAAAATAGTATCAAATTTTACTCTTAAAAATTTAATTAACTCAAGTTAAAACATAATCAATATTATTTAACATTTTATATTGTCTTTTTGATAGTAAAAATTTTGTTGACTAAATGGAAAGGAACACATAATATACAAAATCCACATAAAACAAAACACCCAAGTAAATAGTTAACCATATCTTTAGAAATTTGTCTAAAAATAAATTAAAAGATAACTTAACTATATAAATAGATAAGATAATAAACAAGTTGCATGACATTAAAAAAAAAAAAAAACCTTATAGATCGGCGCAACCTTTTCGACACCATTTTGGTTTGGTGGTGGATAACAGGTGGATACGTTACTTAAACTCTTTATTATTATCATTATCATTATCATTAATATATTCATAACTAAACTTCTCTACGTCAAGATTACATTAATTATATTTAATTTATGTATATGGTTACTTGGTGCTTGGTTTTCTTTCACTCATTCATAATCATTAAATTATTTCATTTCTTTGACTTTAAAATAACTACCATCATTAAACTATTAAATTCATTTGACTCTAGATATAATCTAAGCTAGTTTTTATCCTTTATATTACAAAATTAATTTTTTAATTTTAAATTTAAGTAATTTTGATATTTCTGTTACTTTATTATTTATTTTTTATATAATGTTTTACAAAATAATTTTATGCGATAATTTATTAATTTTTACAAATGACATATTATTTGAATTTTAAATAAAAAATATGAAAAATAAATAAAATTTAATAATATTAATAAATCATGAATTTTTATCAACATATATTTAATACAAAAGTCAAATATTTTTAATTATTCAACAATTATTTAATAATATTATTTAACAAGTTGTGATTTATTTAAACCATTTTTATATCATAAAAAATAAATAGAACATGATTTATACTTTTTCACATAGTTTCTTGAACTAGATTGAATGAAATTTTGGAGTCCGGATACAAGAGTGAGAGTAAGAGAGAGAGAGAGAGAGAGAGAGAGAGAGAGATGAGGGAGGTGTAAGAAACTGAGGATGCAATTTTCTGACCTAAAGTTTATATCTTTCTACTTTGTTGCAAGTTTTCATCTTTCATTTCAGCTTCATTCAATACAGCTCTTCTACTTCTGATTCTACTTTAGATCTAAACATTCTGGGTAAATTTGTTTTCTAAATCCAAATTTTCATTTTACACTGATATTATCTATGAATTTGTTTTCCCCATCTTGAAGACTTTGGTCAACTTGATTTCTGTTGAATTACTGAGAAAAAGTTCAATTTTTTTTTTCAAGTTTGTAAAAATCTGTTTTTTTAGGTTTGTGGAATGAAAATGGTAGTAGGCATAGTAATGAGGCAAATTTAGTTTAGTTCAACTTTTTGTAAGATGAAAACTTGAACTGGGTTGTAAGATTTGGGATTTCTAGATTATTCTTGAGGTGATGTTTTCTAACATTTGCTTATGTTTTGCAGATTAACTTGTAAGGTGGACTGTGATCTAGCTTGGGAGTTTTGATGAAGTGAGGTTAATTTACAAGCTTTTCAGAGGTAGTTTCTCTTTCTGTAACCCTTACATTATGGTCTTTCTATGTCTTAGCAACGGGTTTTGAAAGAATATTACATGTGATTTGTTGTTGTTGTTTGTTTTATATATGCTATATTTGATGGTAAATGTATTAAATTTGACATATTTATTGTAGGATTTTGTTTGGCTTAGTAAGATTTTCCATTACCATATATAATCTTATAGAGTAACAAAATTATGTTTTTCCATAAAAATTGATCAGATTTAAGCTATTCTTTATGGTGGTCGGTGTTTACTAATTATCCAGCCAGCTCGGTAGCACCGACACTTCTGAAAAAATGTGTGTCAGCGTCGGTGTTCAAAATTGACATGACGTTTGTGATTATGTTTAATTTATTCATTCTTTCAAATTATTTATTGCTGGTGTCAACGTGTCAGTGGCGATTGTGTTTTTTGGTGTATGTGCTTCGTAGCCAACTAGTTTTAAAATGTTTAAATATCTCTTGCATTTGATTCATGACTATGTATACATAAAATGGATTGTATAATTGAAAATCAGAAGCTTTCTGATATGGTTCGAAGTCTACTGATAGTGTTTTTCTTGGTTGGATAATAATGAATGAACAATAATCGCTAAATTCAATTAATGATAATGTGACGGCTGAGATGAAACTCTACTTTGATGGCAGTCATATATATGCTCACAGTGGTTGGATATAATCCATCAGAAGTTTGCCGAAGAGATACTTGGGATAATCCTGCAGAATGTCATTCCGTAGCATAGTTCGTGACGTTCGTGATAGTTTTGGGAGCTTATCTAGGCGTAGTTTTGATGTCAAACTTACTGGTCATCATCATAGAGGAAAATCTCATGGTTCGGTACAGGATCTGCATGATCAGCCGCTTGTAATTCAAAATAGTTGCTGGGCGAGCTTACCCCCAGAATTACTCTTTGATGTCATTCGACGGCTAGAGGAGAGTGAGAATACTTGGCCTTCACGGAAGCATGTAGTTGCTTGTGCTTCTGTTTGCCAGTCTTGGAGGAATATGTGCAAGGACATTGTTAAGAGCCCTGAGTTCTGCGGCAAACTTACATTCCCCGTGTCCCTGAAGCAGGTTAATCACATTTCTTTCTTGCCGGTTATCGCACGTTTTTTCTAAGCAACACATGACATTTATGTTGAGATAACAATGAAAGTTGATATGGTACGGTAGCAACTGTCTGACTTTTTTGTTTGTTTCACTTTTCAGCCTGGGCCGCGAGATGGAATCATTCAATGCTTTATCAAAAGAGATAAATCTAACTTAACATACCACCTATTCCTTTGTTTGAGCCCCGGTAAACGCTCTTCTCTTAAGTAACCCCTTGGGTTCATATGGTTTTATGTTCATGTGCTTCTGGCGTGATCATGTAGATTTGTTATGACGTAATGTTTCAAAATTCCAACAGTTTAGATTTTTTAAGCTACGGGTTATGTGAATATTAATGCATTTGTTGATTGTGGCTTCACGTCTGTAAACACTTGCATGCGTATTTGATTTGGGATCTACGTGGGGCAGTGTTATCAAATAGCGGCACCATGGCTGCTATGGCGGATATACATGGCGGTTTTTGGGCTCGCAGATATGGCGGGATTTACATGGCAGTTTTTGGGCTCGCCGCAATGGCGAGATTTACATGTTGGTTTTTGGGCTTGCCATTATGGTGTATATACATGGCAGTTTTTGGACTCGCAACAATGGTAAATACCGGCCGATATTGCGGGTTTTTCTGCCATAATCTGCTATAATGGCGCTGCAAAGCGGCTGATTTGGCGGGATTTTGGCTCACTGCAATGGACCGCCATCCGCCCCCGACAACACGAACATGGGGACCGGATGATAATTGTAACCGAGTATTTGTGCCGAAGTTACTAGTATTAGATGGTTAAAATTTTATCAATTATGTTTGCAACATTCCTTCTGAAATTTTAATGCTATGGAGGTTTCCCATGATGTAATCAACTAAGATATGATTTTCATCTGTCCAACAAGTAAATAAGTTCCATTGTTTTATATTTTACAAATCATTCCATATTCCATTAATTGCTGCCGTGGTAACACTTGAATCAGTCCATTAGTTGTACATGTTGAACTCATTAAATTTTTGTTCCTGTTTCTAAATTTTTGTCTTTTGCAGCTTTGTTAGTCGAAAATGGAAAATTCCTCCTCTCTGCTAAGAGGACAAGAAGAACAACCTACACTGAGTATGTTATTTCCATGGATGCTGACAACATCTCTAGATCAAGTAATACTTACATTGGAAAGCTGAGGTAAGTTTTCTGCTTGCAAATGTTTTTCCTTCTCGGTTTATTTTATCATCAACTTTGTTAAAATGAATATGATATAGAGATGAAGCAGATATATCATATATCCTCGTTTTCTATTCATATCTTCAAAGCCATTTACCGATTTTTTTCTGTTCTATTTTATATCTCTGTTTTCTTATGTACAATATTTTATGTTATTATTTTGGTATACCAGATCAAACTTTCTTGGAACAAAATTCATTATATATGATACACAGCCTCCCCACACTTCTGCCCATATATGTCCTCCGGGAATTGGGAAGACGAGCCGGAGATTTTCTAAAAAGGTATCGCCTAAGGTCCCATCTGGGAGTTACAACATCGCTCAGGTAACATATGAACTGAATGTTCTCGGGACTCGTGGCCCAAGGAAGATGCACTGCATTATGCATTCAATACCTAATTCAGCACTTGATGCTGGCGGATCCGTTCCCGGACAGCCTGAGCTTATTCCCCGTTCCCTGGAGGACTCATTCCGTAGCATCTCATTTTCGAAGTCTCTAGATCATTCCATCGAGTTCAGCAGTTCAAGGTTTTCAGAGATCGGAGGATCATGCAACGAGGATGATGATGGCAAGACGAGACCCTTGGTTCTGAAAAACAAGCCTCCAAGATGGCACGAGCAGTTACAGTGCTGGTGCCTTAATTTCCGGGGACGAGTAACTGTCGCATCTGTTAAAAACTTTCAGCTGATTGCCTCCACCCAACCACCTGCTGGCGCACCGACGCCATCTCAACCAGCTCCACCGGAACATGACAAGATTATTCTGCAATTTGGCAAAGTCGGGAAGGACATGTTCACCATGGATTATCGATATCCTTTATCTGCATTCCAAGCTTTTGCAATATGCTTGAGCAGCTTTGACACCAAGCTGGCTTGTGAATAAGTTAATCATGAAGTCTTTAAAGCGAACTAATCAAACTTTTGTGATGGTAAATTCTCTTTATTTTTATATCTCTGTCCTATTCTTATCACCAGTGTTATGGGATTAGGCCATTGTTATTGCTCAGATTCTGTATGATGACTAAATAGTAACTGCTGATGTAATAGGGTTTAAAGCATTTTTAACTTAAAATGTTGATGTGTTTCTTTCTCAGTAGATTCATGCAGAATCAATATATCTTATGTTAAATATGTTTTTTTTCTCAGTGTTATCGAATAGCGCCAGCGGCCATGACCGCCATGATAGAAATACATGGCGGTTTTTGGCTCGCTGCAGTGGTAAATATCGGCTTATTGCGGGTCTGCCATTGATAACACTGGTTTTTACTATATATTTTTTTATTAGGGTCTAATGATACCAAATACTGTTATAGAAAATAAATAAATGTTTTTAAAGAATGAACAAAGATAACATAATTTGCAGTATTCAACTAGAATTGATAATACTATAAAGTCAATCAATTATTAGTTATGAATGAAAAAGAAATCTAATTTTTGACTTTATTGCTATACTCAAGACGAGTCATGTCAAAAGTGCTATACTCAAGACGAGTATACTCAAATTAAAGTCAAATAAATTTAGAGTACTCAAATTGTTGATATAATGAAAAAAAAAAGTGCTCAAATTGACTTTAATATATGTATGAAGAAAAATATTTCTCTCTCTCTTCTGTTGTCAAGAAAAAATATTTCATTGTTTGATATAGATAGAGAATTATGAAACAGGGACACTTCGATCAAGATCAACCTCAGGTTAGAACAATTTAGCTTTTTTCTTTATGTTATATCTCCAATTACAATTATAAATAATTTTTTGAAATTCATAATGGACCTTCAAGATTTATAACGTACTTTTAAGTCAAACTTTGTTCTTGACTTGTTATATTTTTATTTTATAATTTTACAAAATTTAATATATTAGTTTTATTTTATATCTCTAACTACAAATAATATTTTGAAATTGATAGAATTATAAAGTCAAACTTTAATCTCATGATTATTTGTTATAATTTTTAAGTTTTATTTAAATTTTTTAATATAATTTTAATACTATTTATAATTAAATATTTAAAAATTCATCGTATCATATAATTTATTATCAAATTTATATGATTAAATATAATTTATTATCATTTGTGAAAGTAGATATTCAACAACAGTTTTTGTGCTACATTCTTTATTCAATACATTGATTTGATTCGATTGCATCAAAGTCAATATAAAATTTACATATCTTTTCTCAATACATTTTCATATTTTCAAATATTTATTTCCCTTTTAGCTTTTCATTATCAAACCTTCACCTCCCACATATCAGCTATCACACTGCGCCACCGCCACTTCGATGACAACTACAACCACCGCCCTTTTCTTTGAGTCACACAATAACATTCTCATTCACACAATAACACCAGTGATAATCTAAAAAAATAAAAAATAAAACGTAATTGTAAGTGGTAATATAAGTGTCAGACGCCAACATATATACATACACGTTTATTTCCAAAAATATTGGAGCTACATAACTAAAAAGTATTACACCATGTGTAGAAAAACTAACCTCAATCGGAATAAAGCACATAATTACAACAAAATCAAAGAAATACAACACTAAACACTAGATTTTTCATTACTTATACATCTACCAGGTCATGGTTATAAAATCTATAGCTTAGTGAAGACAAACAAAATACACCCAATTGTGTCCAAACACCTCGATTCAATATCTTAAACATTATGAATCCAAACTCACAAATGCACCTATCGATGACACCATTGAAGGTGATGTTAAGGAGATACCAATGAGATCTATGACCGAGTAGTTGAAAACATGCACAATTGTTTAAACTTAGACGATTAATATTAATGACTCAATTCAGAGTCTTTTACTATCAATTTAATCGTTTTTATCATCAATTTATTAAACTCTTGCTTGAATTTCAAGATTTAATTTTTGTACAAAGAAAGCCGGTAGATCATCTCAAGTTGTCTTAAACCGACAATTCATCGGATATACAATTCAAATACATAAGGAATAAAAAATAATTTGGAGAATAAGCGTTACAATGATGAGAGATGACACCGGTTATGAATAGAAAGGGAGAATTTTAATTTTGCAAGAGAATGTGTTTCAACATAATAAGAAAACCTAAATAAAACGCCCTTGTTATATGATATATGAGTGGAGATTAACTTACTCAAAAAAAACCTAAATAAAACGCCATTGTTATATGATATATGAGTGGAGATTAATTTACTCAAAGAAAACCTAAATAAAATGCCTATGTTATATGATATATGAGTGGAGATTAACTTACTTAAAGAGTAAGTTTTATTAACTTATTTCAAATCATAACTCTCATATTGAATCCAATCTAATGATTAATTAAATAAAAGGTTAATTTAAACATTAGATTGGATTCAATCCAATGATTATAATTTAGAGTAAGTTAAAAAAATTATTCTTATAGTAAGTTAATCCTATATATATATATATATATATATATATATATATATATATATATATATATATATATATATATATATATATATATATATATATATATATATATATATATATATATATATATATATATATATATATATATATATATATATATATATATATATATATATATATAAGCACTGCAATTTATATAAGCTTAACACTAGTTGTCTTGGCCCATGGGACAAATAGATCCAGAGTGCCATGGCCCATAGGGCATACAACCTAGAAGGCAAACAACTCATAAGGGAGTCGGTCCAAAAGGAAAACTCCGGACCAAAATAAAATGAATGACAAAAGAGAAATTTTATGAAAGTAATTTAAAAAATAAAAATAAACGATGCAAATAATGATCAAGAGGTCTTTTGGGAAATAATAGAGAACATAATTGATTAAAGACGACCAATGGCAAATCCTCTGAGAATTAATAGAGAAAAAAATTGATTTAGAATGACTAATGGGAGATCCTCTGAGAATTAATAGAGAAAAATTTTCATAGAGGACAATTGAGACTTTCTGAGAATTAACAAATCAGACGCTCAACAAGATACATATGGGACTCTCTAAAACTTAGCAGAGAAGAAACCTAAATGATCAAGCTACAAATAGGAGATGTTCTGAGAATTAACAAAGAAAAACACCCCACATAGGACTATTGAGGCTTTCTGAGAACTAACAGAAAATACACTCAAATAAGATATAATTGAGGCTTTCTGAGACTTAACAGAGAAAAAACTCTAATGATCAAGCAATAACTGGGAGATACTCTACAAATTAACATAGAACAATACTCCGTTGGAGACAATTGGGGTTTTCTTAGAATTAACATAAAAAACTCAAATGATCAAGCAATAATCGAGAGATCCTCTGAGACTTAATAGAGGAAAACACTCCATAGAAGATAATTGAGGCTTCCTGAGAATTAGCAAATGATACGTTCAAATATCCAATAGAGAAATGGTAACTTTACCGAGGGTTGACTAGTATCTCATAAGATGACCGTCGACTAGGAACATTATAGAAAAGACTCCATAGGGAGAAGAAAGCTCTGTTGGGAAAAAGATCTAAAGGATAACTTTTAGGGTAACCTCTGGTTGGGGAGAAAATTCAACAGACTCATTGGGGATACACAATGAAAAAACCTGTGGGGTACAAATTCACTCAGAGAAATACCGTTGGTTTAGCTGAGGATTAACCTGGACTTCTATGAAAGGTCTCGGGTCCTGACTCATGCTATGTATGCATGTTTTGATTGTATGGTGTGATGCACCACCTCCGTGGGTATGCTTGTTCGCACACAATTTTCGCGCGAACAACCTCTGATCTCCTAATGCAGGTTTACTTGCGGGACCGGCCAAACAAGTCCTAGAACTATCTGGTCGAGTCTATACAACAATGGTAGAATGTTTTTGTTTAGAATAAATTGGAAACACGCTCGAATAAAAATGTGTATACCAAATGAAGGACAAATAAAATAAACAAGTAAAAAATCAAGATATCTTAAAGTTTGGTAATGTAAATTGCTTTTAAAAGGAAATGTGGACGCGATCATACATTTTGCAGGAATGAACTCTTTTCTCTTAACGCTTGGTACTCAGAGTGTTTTTCTCTTAAAATGTTACAAAATGCGCCCCCTTAAAATGAAAATGGGCATTGCCTTAAATAGGAAAAGAAAATAGCTGCTATGTTGGTCTTGGTGGCGCCACATGTCCCTCCACCACTTTTGTAACTTCCCCACGTTCTTAGCTTTTCAAATATTCTTCCCGATCAAAAGTTCTCATACTTTATGTCGGTTTCCTTGGCCATCAGTCGACACTTTCGTCAGAATAACCTTGAGTCGACTTCAAACCTTCTTCTGTTGGCATCGATTTACCTCATTTCCTTCACCACCTTTCCTAGCCTGTCGACCCATAAGTCAGCTTGTATGTCAAATTTTCCTAGTTGAAATCTTCCAGCCAACAAGATGCCCTCTCAAAAACCCAGTTTCAACTGAGCACTGTGTTGAATGAGAAACTTGACGTTTTGGTTTACTGTGAGGTTTCTACTGCACCTTGGTTCTAACCCAACAACACCATCATTTTCCTCCTGTCGAGTCAGCCATGCGTCACCCACAGTCTGACATAATAATAGCGCCTTTCTGCGCCAAGATTTCCAAGAAAACTAATCATGCCTAGTCGCTCATACGTTATCTATAAATAGCTCTTGCCTGTATGCAACTTATCTATAAATAGCTCTTGCCCACATTTGGTTTTCTTTTCCAACTCCCACTCTCTCTAGAATTGGAACAACTCCTTGCCTGATGCAATTTATCTATAAATAGCTCTTGCCCACATTTGGTTTTCTTTTCCAACTTCTCTCACACTTTACTTTCCTTCAAGCTTTCGCTCCCAGAATTCCTTTAATCTTCTCTTTTAATGGCTTCCTCAACCGCTTCCGCT